TCCCTCACACCATGCATCTATTAATCACCAACTCCATCAATTCCATAACCTAACAAGCTCTTGGGTATACCTTTCTTCTTCATCCTCATCCCCACTGGCTCAAATCTTCATCATTTGTTGCAGGATTATTGTAGTTGCTTTCCATCTGGTGTCTCTAAATCCAGCTCCGCCACCACCATTGATTCTATTCCATACACTGATGCTGCCAGAGTAATCTTTAAAAAAATCCAAATCCATAACTCTGCTCTGTATCCAAAATTCCTCACTGACTCCCCGTTGACAACAGAATGACATATTCTCAAAAGCTACTCTTGAAGGGCCCTGAACGATATGGCTTACTTCTACTTTTTAGACTTCTTTTATGTCACTCCCAGTCTGAATATCATAACATTCCCCAAATATGCACAACACTCTTACCTCTGTGCTTTTGGACGTGCTTTTCTTTCTGCCTAAAATGCTTTTCCTTCTCTTGATGACCTCCTACTCATTCTGCAAAACCCAACTAAAGTATTGCCTCCTCTCGGAAACCTTTCCTAATCCTCCCTTACAGACTTAGTTGTTACTTATTTTGTGCTTCTGAAGTACTTTTTACATATATTTATTACATATATTTATTACAATTGAATGGAATTGAAATTTATTGGTTAATTAGACTATAAGCTTCACAAGGTTAGGGGTAGATTTTACCCCTCTTCCCTACTTGGGGAGTGTCAATGCTTGACACATTATTCAGTAAGCATCAGTTTCTTCCCTTCTTCCTACGAAAATCTCAACTTGCTCATTTACAAAATTGGGGGCTTGGGTGAAAAGGTTTTACAAATCCTTCTAGCCAAACAACCTTTAATCAATTAGCTCATGTATTTGTGTGGCTTCTTCAGTCTTTACTCAAATTTTCTCAATGAGTCCTTTTCTGACCGCCCTATTTAAAATCCAGCACTCTCTCCTGGCACACTCCTTATCCCCCTTCCCTGATCTATTGTCTTTACAGTACTTTTCTCCCTATAACATACCCCACAATTAACTTATGTGTTTTGTTTATTGTCTCTCCACTAGAGTGAAATCCCCATGAGGGCAGAACATTTTGCCTATATTGTTCAGGGCTGTATTTCTGGCACCAAAAATGATGCCTGACATACGGTTGGCTCTCAATGAATATCTGTTGATGGAATGAACTCCCAAATGTTAGAGGTGAAGGATTCAAAAGGATCGTGTCATCAACCAGATGAACAAAGAGTCAATGACACCTAGTCAGTGGCCAAGCCAGGATTAGCTACGGGAATGTGGCCAAACACTGGGGACTGCAGGTTGACTGACAACTGTCAGAAACAGGGCAGTATAACTGGAGCAAAGGAATGAAGCTACCTATTTGTCTAAGAACAGGACTAACTTGGGGAGACCCTGCAAATAATCCTGCCCCAGCATGGCCACATTCTCACATGTAGGGCATAATCACCATCTTTTGTGCATCTCCCCACAGGACACACTGTGACGGGGGAAGGGGGTCCAGCCTACAAGGGCAAAGCTAGAGAAGTGTGTCTTCCAGCCTCTCCTTTCTTTGTTCTTCCCTCATGATGTCTGCCCCTTCAGAACTTAAGGACCTAAACTTCCTTCTCTCCTTTCTATCACAGGATCTCCAGAAAAAGCTGATCCATTTTGAGGCACAAAATACTGATGACACCTGTGATCTCTCTCAAGTATGCTTGACAGGGGCCTAAAACACTGGAACCAAGATTTTACATTAGTTAAGAGCTTAGTTGGGACTTCACACACTGGCAAGAAGAGGGGGAAGATGGTGTCTCTCTGACATCAGTGAATTCCTGCCATTCAACTTGAAATAACCACCTATGTGTAAACAAGTATGACTAACAAAATATTTCTAAGCACCTGCCAATGTAGGTCTATTTGTCAGTAGGTCAATCCCTCTTCCACTCTCTATCCTCCATTGTAAGACTTAGCTGTGAGGTTGGAGTCAGAGTAGAGGATGTGGCATTTAGAAAGCAAAAAGCCCCAAATCTACCCCTTCCCGTCTGGTCATACCAGAGGGAGTCCTTAAGGAACCATATAGAAAAGTCTATCCTTTCCATTCTTGGGTAGTTTGGGGGGAAATAAAGGAATCAAATATTGATTGGGGAGGGCAGATTCCAAGGTTCTTGCTCCCCAAAAGCCTTGATTCAGGGACAAACAGCAATAAAGAGGGTCCTTTGATAAACATTCTGATAGGATCAGAGAGCCTGAGGACTTTGAGGCTAGTAGGGGCTTTGGAAAATCTCTCTGGCTATACGAGAGGGAGTCTTTGCTAGGAAGAGCGACTGTACTCTCTCTCCTACAGGAAGGCAGTGGGACTGGGATGGCGGTGAGGACAATAGGCAACTAGAAGACTTCTTGTGTCCCATCGTCTGAATGGGGTGTACTAAGGGACCCAGAAATTCCCGTTTTTCTCAGTTGAGGGGGCCAGAAATGCTTAGAACACAGTAAAATAGCAAAATCCTGCACTTGGAACAAAAAAGCCACTGTAGACTCAGATTTTGAGACTATATAAGAAAGTCCAGGATCATAGGCTTTGGTAGTGGGTACTAAGTGGAACTGGCTTCCCAGGAGGCAGATTGGACTGGCCACTCTGTAGCCCAAACCAGCGAGAATCTCTTTAACACTGCATAGGTCTGAAGAAACTTCCTCTTCTGCCATCATGAGATAATGTAAGTCATACCCAGACACTACCTTGGAAAGGAGCAGAGGAAAGAGAAAACTTGAGAGTCTGAAAATTTTCTTAAAAGGGCTACCCTGCAAGTGGGTCCTTGTGAGAAAGGTAAGATGAATCACAGGAAAACAGAGTAGACACGTTTGCTTTGCATATCAGTATGTGAAAGGTGAGTATTTTTGCCATCTCAGTGCATTTGAGGGTGTTTCCCAAGAATTTTGAGAACCTGTCTGCAGCAAATTTTTGCACCATGGAGTGATTATAAACCTCTAGGCTAAAATTAAAAATTCTGAGGTAGGGCCATGTCCCAGAGAAAGAGAGGATTTGCAGATGCAAATAGAGGATGTTCAGCATAAGGCAGAAAAGAGAGGTTAAGAAAAGCTATCACTACAGCCCCTTCTTGGTTTGTAAAGTTTTGAAAAGTAGAGCCAGCTTTTTGGAGAGGGAAGCCCAACACCCTCAGCATCAATTCAAGACTGGGACATATTTGGAGATGGTATTTTGGAAGAAGAGATTAGACTTCAACAACTAATCAGAGAGACAACACCCAGTTAGTATTTCATCCATTAAGTCCACCCAGGGAGACCCAAGGAGTCAGTGAGTAAATAGATTCATTGTCAGTCTTGTGACAGCCAGCTAAGTGAATACCCATCCCTCTCTTGAGCCAAACAGCTGAGGTTTAAGAATATTTACCTCCTGGGAGTAAAGAGGGTCATGGTTAGAGATTGGGTTGTGGCTAATTCATACTAATTCATACTTCCTGCTACATTTAGATAGAGATAGCTACTCATCTCCACTCCAGCATTCAACATCCACTAGAAATTTAGCCCCTAGTTCAAGGGAAACATTTCCAACACACAATCTTCAGCTCCTAAAGAGTGGGGGTAGGGTGAAGTAATGGGCCAGTATTGGGAAGAGGCTGTGCCTTCTTGGAGACCAAATAGTGATGTAAGATAAAAGATTCAATCAGTACCCAGATTTTCCAGCCAGCATTGGAGCCAGATTGGGTAGAAGTTAACAGAGAAATAAATGTAGGATAATAATCAAGCTCGCAGCTTCTTGGAAAAAGGGAGGGTAAGAACTTAATCACGAGTAAATGTCCTTTGCAAGAATACAAAGGCTTACTATGGTAGCACTATATGTTTCAAATATCTTCCATTTAGGGTCCCTTCTCAATAAGCTTATCTCTGTCTTCTACACCCTGTCCAACTGCTATTAAGAGTTAGTCATAAGGGTGAAGTCAGGAAGGAGGAGACAAAGTCCTTTGCAGAAGTGGGATGTTAACTATAGTAGGAGGAGTCTCAGGTAGAGAAAGGGGGGTGGTAAGAGGAAAATCTACTGCTTGCAGTCTAGGCCAATTTCTAGAAAAAGTGAGACAGAAAAGAAAAATGAGGCAGACAGCTGTTAAGGCTTTCATGCTTCCCTTCTCCACACACAGTTAGGAGTCAAAAAGTTAGGAGGTGGTGCTTCATAAACATCTAAATAGCTTTGGAGAAGCCCAAGGATTAGGGCTAAATAGCAACTTCTCCCCCTGGAATGTCTTAGAGTGGGGCTACAAGACCTCAGAAGAAATCTTTTTTCATGGCATTATCTGACATGGTGGCAGTGAGAGATGGATAGATGAATGATCCTGAGCTAGAACCCATGCCTTTCTATAGTAGGTCCATGGCATGCAGGACACCCAGAAGTTCCTATATCTACAAGAAGGGGACAAAGTGTAAGAGCACTGCTGGACCTAGGGATGGCAGGGGGCCAGATGTATAGATTCCTGTGAATGATGACTTTGAGACTGGGGACAAAGGTCCAGGGTCTACAACTGCAGTGGTGAATGTCAGCACAAAAGCTGGATAGGACAATAGCACCTCAGACTAGAGAGCAGTCCCATCAGCTGCTTTTCAACAAAATGCAGCTAGGATCCAGACGAATTCACATGAATCTGAGGATCCCCTTTTCCCCAACTGCTACAAAATCATGCCAACCATATCCTTTACTCATACACCTGGGTTATGTAAGAGACGTACAGGCAGGTAAAGAGGAAACCAGAGAGACTAAGTATATGAACTAAAGAGCTTGAGCATCTGCCTAAAAGGATTGCTAGACTATTGTACCAGACTCTGTTATGTTGTACTAAAATTTATATACTTCCCATTTCTCAGATGCAATTCATTTGTGAGGAAGATCAGATGAGTGACAGAATTTTTTTAAAAAACGAATTTCTTTGAGCATCTGAGGGTAATAGAATGAGTAATTTTGTAATCCTAATTACACATTAATAAGGAAATCGTGTGCAAAAAGGCATTAACAAGAAAACTCTTTTATTGATAGAAAAGCAAACGAATTTTCCATGAATTCTAATATCTACTTTATTCTGTCTGTTGGATATACTCGAGATCCAAGATCAGTTTTTCTGTTGTTCTTGTTGTCATCATTGTTTTTGTCGTTAATCTCTCCATAGAAACAACCCGGTGAAATCACAAGTGTCCCTGCCTCAAACTGGTAGGACCACCTTGACAAGACACTGTCCTCAATTAAAGTTAATTAAATTCCTATTCTTAGCTAAGCATTCCTACACGGCACCAATTGTATTATTAGGTTGGTGACATTAATAAGTATTGATGTCAAGCCATCAAAGCTATTTCTCAAATGTTATCAAATAAATCAAAAACCAAATCATAATCAGATTTATGTTCAATCCAATGGTTAAATACCCCTCTATAGATAGGTCAATTCATTCTAATGTGGACTAAAACATCTATGAGCCACAATCACTAAAAATCCAAAAAAAGATGGCTCAGATAAGTGACTTCAGACTCAGATTCAAAGTCCAGATTCACATGGGAATGGACCTGAGGAGACTGACCAGATTAGATTAAAGTTTCTGGTTCTAATTTAACCTATAACTTTCACATAATATCAGCTAGCAAATGCTCAACTCTCACCCACAGAAAAGCATTTAAAGCATATGTCTGCACAATGGAAAACAATGGAATTTTAACTATTATCTAATTAATTCAACTGATATAAATATAAGTGGTGGAAAAGTCAGATGTCAAAGGTTTTTAAAGCTAATTTATCCATGTTTTTCAAAAACTACTTATCAAACTAAACAGATAATGGTCATATTTTCACTTTAGCTATGCAGATATAAATTGTATCTCCACACGACATATAGGTTGAAAATAAAAAATCGAGCCACAATGCAGGTTTGTGGTCTAGTTGGCCCTAAACCTCTTCTAGATATTTTTGCTTTCCATCTAGATATTTAGACCACACAGATATGGTCATAAGTTCATTATCACTCCTACATTTGAGTTACTAACTAGGAAAGGAAGCTTATCTAATTACCAATTCCCCAAGCCAACCAGGACTCTCTCCTTTCATTAAATAAAGAGAAAGTCATTCAGATTTGACCCCAGAGAAATAAATACATGCATATACCTGACTTCTCAGTATCCTCTCTGGATTAAGAGGATGGAACAACTATTTGGTTGCCATCTCATTCTTGTAATGACAGAAAAGAGAATACAAAAAGTCCATTGTAAATTTGTACAAAATGTATGCATATATAAATACACATCTATGGGTGTATATAAATTCTAAAGAAGATTATATCCATCTACATCTTTAAGATTCAGAGTCCCATACAGTTGACATAATGGTATTCTCTCTCCAATTTTCTCATTTTAAAAAACAATAAGAATCAAACATGCCACCTTATTAATACTGAATAGCAAGTGCAGAAGTTGAACTGTAGCTATAGGGATTTGAAGCAATTAGTTTGACGGGACATCAGTGAATAAAATCCTTAAAATAAATTTAGCTATTTCCAGATTGCCTTTTGTTTCATATAAATGAAATCCAAAATGCCCTGTTGGTAGCATCCCAGACTCCTAAGACTGTCAATAGAGCTCTATAAAAAGCAATGCTTTAAACAGGGTCTGTGCAAATTGCTTGGATATGTGCTTATTGCAATAATTTGGTGTGAGGACTGGCGTTACTAGAATTTTTGTAATTCTCTATCTTATAAAAAATCTCAAGTGATACCAACGGAAGCTTAGGGTTCTGAGTATAATAAACTCAGCATGAAATTTGACTCACAAACCATATCATCTTTACACAGAGCACTATAAAAATATTAAACCATAGTCAATTAATAGAGAAAGGCATACATAGTTAAAGGTGCACAATAAGAGCATATTATGGATGTGTGCCCATGTTTAGAGGTATCAAGATCTTTTTTTAAAACAATATTCATAATGCTTTTTGTTTCTCCTGTTTCTTCTATTCCTTTGGGGAAAAATTATATAGGACAATTTCATAATTACCCCCTACAGTGTACAGGCTGCTCCTTGGAAGGGGAGTATTATTGCATGCCTTGAATGCACTATGATTCATAAGGCAAGAATGTATGAGTAGCTTCAGCACCAAGGAAATGGAATCATCATCCAGCACTGCTCACAACAGAACATCTTATTGCTTTAATAAAATGGGAAATTATTCACTGTAAAAAGTGCACCAAATAAGGAAGAGAAAGTAATATCCACGTACTTAGTGGAGCTCATTGGAAATGAGGAAGCTCCCTTCTGAGTCCCTGATTCTGTTCAAATTTCAAGTCCAAAAGTCATTCTGTAATAAGGTATTAAAGAGCTACAGCTGGATGAGGGTGAGCTACAAAAATTAATGGATTTTCTTCTTCACAGTGCCTTAGTCATTCTGATGTACAACGTAGAGGTCTGGTGCACTAAAGGATTCCCTAGCGGCCTGAGGGAGCTAATGCACTCTTTTACATATTACTAGGAAGTGACTAAGGCACTGGAGAGAATCTGGTTCATTGTTTAATATATTGTACCCAAAGATTATACCTGGTCTTCCTAATATTACAACACGGCATGCTTAAATGATGACCCTCTGTGCTTCAGGAAAGGACTTGAGTGAATATCTAATGGGTGATTAAAATTAAGCTTATTAAGTTATTTTTATAAAAGATGCAGACTGAGCTTGGGCAATTTAAGAGATGACCTAAAACCTCAGAGGTAATATTTCCTCTGGATAAGAGCACATACTCTTGGAACCAAGATAGAGAAGAGAGAACTATTGGTTACTTGGGAGAGGGATGCACTTAGGGGCACTGTCGCCTTACACCCTGCAGGTTAGTAAGAACTCTTTTGGGTGAGCTTTGTTAAGAACATTCTTATTCATACATTTTCCAAACGTTTGAACAGCTGTCAAAGAATTGGTTCCTAAGAAAGGATGTCACTGCATATAATTAAGATTATAATATGCTCTGGCCCCTTTATCATCAATCCAAGGGAAACAAAGTGGTAAATAACCACAGGTGGACTCCATTTCTAACATAGATGGCCTTGTGTGGCATTAGAAGAGAGAAGAAAATTATTGATCTTCTTCTCTCACTTTCTCTTTTATCAATCTTTCTTCATTTATTCAGTGAAGTTAGGCAAGCCAGACTCAGAAAGAGAAAGAGAGCCTTTCCTTTGCTGCATCTCAGATTTCTAACTAAACAAGCTGCAAACATTTTTGTCCTACAAGTAGTCACTGCATTTAACTTCTCTTGAAATTTGCATGTCCTGTCATCCAAATTGCCCAACATCCCCACCAGTCTCATCCCAAACGCATACAGTACAAGCAAGCACACACACCACTGCCTCCAGGTGGTAACTGCATGCAGGGAGGACTACAGGCACTGTTTAAATATTAACCATGTTTTAATAGATGGCATTCCTGCACATCCATTATTTGTTTGTTTTCTATTGTGGTTGTTTCTGTTATTTGCAAAAGAAAAAAGAAAACATGTGTCATCTTTTTATAACAGTCTACTACAGAGTAAGGTACAAAAGAACACTTCTGGAAACAGCAGAAGCCAGGCCTGCACCACTGAATTCCTCATCCAGTGGTAACCATTATATCAACAGCTGGAAATTAAGAACAAGAATATACAGTTTGGAGGATGTAGTACAGAACTATAGTTTGCTTCTGTATTTGGTACCAATATAGTAAATATATAACAAGGTGTACTTGTTCCAAAAATTAAACAGAAACATTCTGGTTGGTTAGATACTGCACTTTCAGTACTGCACATCACCTAATACTACTTTTTTTTTTTTACAAAAAAGGGTAACTTATGCAATGTTTAATAATAAGAAAACCAATAGTACACGCAAACCCGATTGTAGGAAAAGAAGAAAGAAACCAACAAAAAGCCAGAATAGTCACTTTCCAAAACAGCCCCTCCTCCGCCTGCACAACCAAAGAAAGTAACCAGTTCGGGAGGCAATTTCAGCACCAGATCTGGCTGGACAGCTCCCCGATCCTGTCTGAATCCTGAAAATGCGTACAGGTGGGGGCGGGGCAGGAAGTTAAAGCAGTAGATTGTTTAAAAAAAAAAAATTCATTTAAAGATTTTTAATATACTTATGCTCGGCCAGCGAGGGACATTTCTAAAAGTAAATTAAAATGCCTGGTCCTGAAAAAGGGACTGGTTAACCAAGGGGTAAGAAGAGGGCTGACTGGAGGGTGGTACCTGTCATAAACGTTTTTCTGGGACTGTCTCTGTGGCCTCTTGTAGTTCTGGCGCTTCATGTAGACGTTTTCTTTATAATATACTATTGTCTGAGCCTGGCTGAGGTTGGGAATGGGGAAGGGAGGGAAGGAAAAGTGAAAGCTTGGAGGGTGGAGGGGAACGAAGGTAACTGAACCTTAACTTGACAGCTATGTACAACACACTGGGCCCCCTCCACTCCCTTTGCTCCGGGGGTCAATGCCTTTTATATATTTGGTAGTTTGTGCTGTTTCTCCTCCTTATTGTGGGGGGCGCAGGGTGGAGAGGGAAGACGAATCCTTCATTGACAATGAGAAATTATGTGATTTGTCATGCGCTTGGATTGTGTTATTAGTATAATAATAATTACTATAAATATTAATAATAAAGTACTGTTATCAGCGTTATTTCTTCTTCCGAGACTTTCCTCGCCCAATATTTACAAATACCGCACAGTGCCTCGGCGGAGGAGAAACAGAGTAAGGGGAGGGTAGTTAAGGAAAGAAGGAAGAGGAAAGAGAGGCCAGAGGAAAGTGGGAGAGGAAGGACGGGGGCGGGGGGGAAGTGAGGACGGCAAAGATGCTGGAAACGAGGAAGGGGAAGAGTGAGGGGCTAGACAATCAGGACAGTACCACCGTTTGCAAAAGGCCCTCGCCAGCTGTGTCCAAACAGGAGGAGGCTTCGTGTGCTCCTTGCGGACTGGGGGCCGGTGGTGGAGGCGCAGGAGCACAGGGACCCTGGCATGGGAGGCCAGGGGACGAAGAGAAGGAGGAGGAGGAGTTGGAGGGAGCGCAGAAGGCAGAGTCCTGGGGCTGCCTCTCCAGACGGGTTTCTTTTGCGTGGGTTGGGGCCTGGCTGCCCGCCGGAGGCAGCCCCCTGCCGCCGCGGTTGCCGCTGCAGTGATCTCGCTCGTATTCCTCCTGAGCCCTCTGCATCTTCCGCTTCTTCATCCGACGCTTGTGGATGTGGAAGGTGGAGAGGGACAGCACGATGAGGCAGAAGATGAGGGTGACCAGGACAATCAGCACCAGCGTGGAGGAGAAGGACTGGAAGAGCTGCTGTCCCACCTGCGTGATGCAGGTGCCGCCGCCGCCGCCTGCGCCGGGGCTACGGGCACTCGCGTTGCCGCTGCCGCTGGCGTTGAGGGAAGCAAAGGTCCGGTTGAGGAGACACGGCGGCAGGGCCAGCCTCAGCTCCTTGGGCGCCCTGGCACTCATCGGCGCTGGGCTGGGAGGGGCCGGGCCCACCAGACTTCCTCTTTTGGGCACACCGTTCCCACCAGCCAAGAAGAGGACAGAGCCCACGCCACCCAAAACTACTCTCTGGTGTGGGAGGGGATGCGCGCGAGCGAAGGACTGAGGGAGCAACTGCGGGCAAGCAAGCCGGCCAAGGAGCGAGCGGTGCCCAGGAGATCCTCTCCGGCCCCGCCTCGAACGCGTGTCGGCGCGCCCTTTTCCTTTGCCAAGGCACCAGGCTGCAAAGAGAACAGGCTTAATTAGGATCTCGGCCGCTGCCCAGGGGCGTGCGGAGGACCAGAAGGATCAGCCGGCACTGCAAAGCGGCCCCCTGGGCACACCGCCTCAGCTGGGCGCTGCCGGTCTTCGCAGCCCGCGGACCCCAGCCCGCCCGCCCCTGGCCGCGCACCAGCTTCGGGCTCGCGCCACTCGCAGGGAAGGGGTCTGCGCCGGCACCGCAGAAATGCGGATTACTCAGCAGATAGAGCAGCCTCCCTGCGCCCTCCACAACTTTCTAATTGCAACAACCACGCAGCCGCCTCAGAACGCGGTCTCTGCTTCCCAGAGCACCGACTCTCTTTCCTGCGCCCTCTCAATGGACGCCTTCGCCTGGATCCCACCCTACCCAGCACCCACACCCTGCCCCCGAGCGGGCTCGCAGTCCTCGCTTCTCTTTCCTTTCTCTCCCGACTCTCCCTTCCCGGACGGCGTCAGACCTCTTAGGTCCCATTCCCGTGAGAGTACCGCTGGCACCATATCCCACTCCACCTCTGCCCGCGGCCCCGGCTGACGCGCAGGATCACGCTCCATCCTTTCTCCAGCCTTCTCTTGTACCGCCCCTCCACCAAAAAAAGCAACTGAAGCACCTTTCTCAGCTAAAGCACATCCCCGCAAATGCCCCCTTTTCTCCATCTTGCTGTGCCTCCCACTTGACAGTATCCTGCTTCTTTCTACGGGAGCTGGAAATGGAAGGGGGAGGGTTCCTGCCTGCAAAGTTTGGGGAACGGATCTTCTCTCCGGCCTGCCCAGACCCAGCCCGAGGGCCCCGAGGCTCTTCCCGGGGACCAGTGCAGGTAGACACGCAGGGCGCAGCAGAGCCCCCTCGCCGCTCTCGAGAGGCAGCTGCAAACTGTTGCACTGCGGAGCAGCGAGGCGGCCCGCAAGCCCGGGCCGGGGCAGGGGCGGGGGCCGAAGCTACGGCCAGGGGTGCCTGCGCAGGCCGCCGAGGCTGTCCTACCCACTCGCGCCCGGCCACCCAGCCGCCCAGAGCCTTTAGCCGAACGGCGTCCCTTACCTGGGGCCGCCAGCTGGCTGCAGGGAGGGAACCCCCGCCGCGCGGCTGCAGTGGCGGCTGCAGAAGGCGCGGAGTGAAGGGGCCAGAGACCAAGCCGTGCTGCTGCCGCCGCCGCCGCCGCCGCCGCTGCCGCTTTGGGGAGCTCAGCTCGCAGCCTATTGCCAGAGAGGCCGGTGACGTCAGACAGCCACCGCCAGGGCTCCAAGCCACCCCTCAGGCCCCCACCTCACCCTCATACCCCAACACTTCGTCCTGGCAGAGCGAGCCTCTGCTACGTTCCCAGTTCCCTGCCCAGGGGCTATGAAGAGCAATCCTCACCCCCACCCTGTGAGCAACCCACCTTCTGCCCTCCTATGCTTAGGAAGGAGGGCTGAAGCTTTAGTTCTTTGGCTGCCCAATTCCTCACCTTCAACCCTTTCCCACATGGTCCCAGGAACACGTTTTTACACTCTAGAGATCCATCTGCCCTCAGGGCACACACTAGAATTTTCTCCTTCTGCTGATGAGGATCATCCCCTCCCCAGTCTTGTCTATGCCGGCCTGGTTGTGAACAGAAACTGCGCACTTAAGAGAGATGAGAGGGGCATTTCTGAATGCGAGAGTGGAAGAACCTGAAATACAAATCTGAACATGTATTTAACATCAAACAATCCAAATTAACTGTTTCCCCCTCCACCAGAGTCTCCAACTTACCTTTCACTCCACCTGACTCGTGATCCTCCTCTCTCCCCTCACACACTCATGAACCCGCTCAAGGAATTAACACTTCTTCTATTCTGACTACCTAGACGCTCATGAACACACAAAGCACACACAAGGCTTACAAGGGAGAAAGATGAAAATCACTCAGAGCAGCACAGAAATGAACTGCCCTGTGAAAATTCTGAGCATTGCGCTCTTACAAAGTACCCCTTCATTGGCCCTAATGCTTGTTAAAGCGCTTGGTGCCTTTGCTGTAGTATTAACCATAGCCTTTCAGCATAATGGATAGAACTTCCTAAAAGAGTCTCATCAGCCTGCCTAAATCTGGGCAGAGACTAATCAACTATTAGTTTAGAACCCTTGGGAAAATATGAATGGTGCATTTGGTTACAGTAGCCAGCTTCAAAATGAAGTATTCTCATTTTTCTACTGGAGAAGCCAGTTTGAAACAGCACCTAAAAACACTGTATGGTCTTTGAAGGCACTCAGGTGTCTAATTAAATGTGCATTTCCTTTTCTCCTCCTTGTCATGTTTTCGTCCAATCTTTGAGTCTAACACAGTGCCTGTACAATATTTACTTGTTAAATTGAGTGATACAGCATATGTTGCTGCTTTTTCCTGCTATGCATCAGAATTGAGAGGTAGCAGGAATGTCTGATACCCACCTATCTGCTTGTATTTGCAAGCAGAGGGTTTTGTAAAGAAAGAGGGTTTGACATGGAGAGTAAAAAGTTGTTTGTCTGTAATCTGAGACTCCCTTCTTCTGACCCTCAGTTCCTATCTAGTCCTCTCCAACTTCTCCTTTTCCTCTCCTTGCCCATGACTTATATATGGAGAAAGAAATACATCATTTCTCCCCCAAATTCTGTTTTCATTTATTTGAATAAAAGTCATCAGCTTTTTCTTCATAATTGCCTCAAAAAAAAAGTATCCACATTTAAGCGAATAGTTCAGTACACGCTGAATAATGCGTGATTACTTCAGAGCATGGATTGATGCCCTTGGCCCCAGAGTCACACAATTAATGATGGCCAATGACCTCAATGCTGGCTTAGCTTTCCTGCCTGGAATGAGGGCACCTGATGCCCTGTAAAAGCCACCTGCCACATTTGGACATCCTGACTTTGATGGGCTCAGGCGATGGGATGGCGAGCCTTGTTTTCACTGTAATCACTAAGTGACACTTCACCATTGACACCTGACATGTAATGTCCCATTTTTGCACCATTTCTTTCCTCCTGAAAAGTTGAGTCTAATCAACATTTTGGAAAGCAAATCTAATTTTGAATACTCCAAAAAGGGATCTGGCTATTTAAAGAGACTCTTTAGAAAAACTGTCTTGTAAAGCAAAGAATCTTTACATAATTAGAATTAACTCTCACTGGTCTATCAGTTTTCTAGACTTGGAGGAATGAGTTATCAGGTTTTCCCGGTGAGGAACATACATACCTTTATGATATGTTGTAATGGGCTTACAATATGAATATAATGGGATTCCTCTTGCACACCAAGCTTCTAGGACATGTGATGAAGCTGTCATTGTTCTTTGTTGTTATAAATGATAACCATCTGTTATACCAGGAGTGCTAAAAGTGTCCGCACCATTTTACACAACCTCTGAAAAGACAATGTCTTGCCCTGGAGAACTTAACAATCTTCAGCAGATAAATGTGATCCAGAAGACAACAGTATTTAACTGGAAATGATTTAGGTAGATTAAAGACATCAGTTCTCAGGTCAAAAGCCCAGCTTTTTTTCCCTTTCTCTTTAAAGAAGAATAGGCTATAGGTTCATAATTTGTTCTTACTCAGAGAATGAATGTGCTAAATACATATATGCTAAATACATATACCTGCCTCTTGGGCTGCAGAAATTGATCCCACTGAGTTGCTATATGATTTTGGCACATCTGGCACAATGGCAAGGCTTCTTCCAGACAAGAGGTGGCCACTGTTTTTGCCACTAAACTTCTTAAGCCACACTCCCAAGAGTGGAGGACCGAAAAGCTTCTGAGATTCCCAGATACTTCCCTGGTGATGGGAAAGCCCCTCTGGACTCAGGCACTTTCCAAATATTCAGCAACATATAATACTTGCTCTCCAGTTTAATGAGGGATCTCCATCTAGCTTAGAGAGAAGTGCCACATGGGCACCTGGTACATCAAACCAAAAGGGCACTGAATCAATAACAATAATAAAAAAATAATAACAACAAAAATAATAATAAATGTATAAATAAGTATAAATAAATAAATAAAATAATAAGTGCTATTATTATTATTATTTGCAAAATACCTACTATGTGCCAGGCTGTACTACATTCTCCCTATAGTATAGAAGGAAAGTACCTCAACACAATAAAGGCCATATATGACAAACCCACAGCTAACATCATACTCAATGGTGAAAAACTGAAAGCTATCCCTCTAAGAACAGGAACAAGACAAGGATGCCCACTTTCACCACTCTTATTTAACGTAGTATTGAAAGTCCTAGCCAGAGCAACCAGGCAAGAAAAAGAAATAAAAGGGGTCCAAATTGGAAAGGAAGAAGTAAAACTGTCACTATTTGCAGATGACATGATTTTATATGTAGAAAACTATAAATAATCCACAGAAAACTATTAGAAATAATAAACAAATATAGTAAAGATGCAGGGTACAAAATCAACATACAAAAATCAATTGTGTTTCTATACACTAACAACGAAATAGCAGAAAGAGAAATTAAGACTACAATCCCATTTACAATTGCAACAAAAAGAATAAAATACATTGGAATAAATTTAACCTAAGAGGTGAAAGACCTGTAAATTGAAAACTATAAAACATTGTTGAAAGAAATCGAAGAAGACACAAAGAAATGGAAAGATATTCCTGCTCATAGATTGGAAGAATTAACATAGTTAAACTGTCCATACTTCCTAAAGCAGTCTACAGATTCAATGCAATCTCTATCCAAGTTCCAACAACACTTTTCATGGAAATAGAGCAAAGATTCCTAAAATTTATAAGGAACAACAAAAGACATTGAATAGCCAAATCAATCCTGAGAAAAAAAGAACCAAGCTGGAGATATCACATTCCCTGATTTCAAAATATACTACAAAGCTATAGTAATCAAATCAGCATAGTACTGGCAGAAAAACAGACACACAGATCAATGGAACAGAATTGAGAGTCCAGAAATAAACCCATACATCTGTGCACAGCTAATTTTTGACAAGGGAGCCAAGAACACACAATGGAGAAGGGAAAGTCTCTTCAATAAATGGTGTTGGGGAAACTGGACAGCCACATGCAAAAAAATGAAAGTAGACCCTTGCCTTACACCATACACAAAAATTAACTCAAAATGGATTAAAGACTTGAATGTAAGACCTGAAACCATAAAACTCCTAGAAGAAAACATAGGCAGTACACTCTTTGACATCGGTCTTGGCAGTATCTTTTCGAATACCATGTTTCACCAGGCAAGGGAAACAAAGAAAAAGTAAATGAATAGGACTACATTAAACTAAAAAGCTTCTGCACAGCAAAGGAAACCATCAACAAAATGAAAAGACAACCTAACAATTGGGAAAAGATATTTGCAAATCATATATCTGATAAGGGGTTGATATGCAAAATATATAAAGAACTCACACAACTCAACAACAACAACAAAAAAACTCAATTAAAAATGGGCAAGGGATCTGAACAGACATTTTTCCAAAGAAGATATACAGATTTCCAAAGGAACATGAAAAGATGTTCAACATCACTAATTATTAGGGAAACACAAATCAAAACTACAATGAGCTATCACCTCACACCTGTCAGAATGGCTATAATTGATGACAAGAAATAACAAGTGTTGGAGAGGATGTGGAGAAAAGGGAACCCTCATACACTGCTGGTGGGAATGTAAACTTGTGCAGACACTATGGAAAACAGTATGGAGACCCTTCAAAAAATTAAGAATAGAAATACCATATGATCCACCTATTCTACTTCCAGGTTATCCAAAGAAGATGAAAACACTAAATCGAAAAGTGATTTTCTTTTATAGTGCATCCCTATATTCATTGCAGTATTATTCAAAATAGCCAAGACTTGGAAACAACCTAAGTCCCCATCAATGGACGTATGGATAAAGAAGTGGTATACATACACAGTGGAATACTATTCAGCCATTAAAAAAGATGAAATCTTGCCATTTGCAACAACATGGATGGATCTTGAGGGTATTATGCTAAGCGAAACAAGTCAGATGGAAAAAGTCAAATACTGTATGATTTCACTCATAAGTGGAAGATAAAAACGAAACAACAACAACAAACAAACACATAGATACAGAGATTAGATTGTTGGTTACCAAAAGGGAAGGTGGGCGGGGCATTGAAAGGGGTAAACAGGTACATGTGTACAGTGACTGATGGTAATTAGTCTTTGAGTGGTGAACATGATGTAGTCTATATAGAAATTGAAATATAATGACGTACACCTGAAATTTATATAATGTTATAAACCGATGGGACCTCAATAAAAAAAATAAAATAAATTCTCCCTATATTAACATTAATCCTTAACATAACCCTGCAAGGTTATTTTTGGCAAAAAACAAAATTATTCATTTATTCATTCATTCACTTATTTGCTCAACGAAAATCTTTGAGTATCTGCTATATGTCAGATGAGGAAACTAAAGATCAGAGTAGCTAAAGACCGTGCCCAAGTCACTTAATAGAACAATGGTTCTGGAATCAAACCCAAGCAAACTGATTCCAAAGTTAGTATTCTTTTCATGATTAATGGTCTCTCTCTCTCTCTCTTTCTCTTTTTTTGTCTCTCTCTCTCTCTCTCTCTCTTTCTCTCTCTCTATCACACACACACACACATCTCCATTTCTATCTCTATTTCGATTTTATCTCTATCTCTATTTACTTCTGATTGGGGAAGTGTAAACAAGTAAAACTAGAGAAAAGCAGAGCTGTTTGGTTGATGCAGAGGAGGGAACATGGCAAGCCCCACCATGGGGGTCCTCTCCTCCCCCAGTAGCAGTCCACATGATGCTCCACACACTCCCTTGGACTGAGCAGAGTTCAGTTTGGAAACCCTTGCACTGCACTAGATTAACTAGGCATGCCATTCTGGAGCACAGTGATACATGCCAGGCTCCTCGTATGTTTACAGGGACTTTTCCAGAGGATGTTCACGTGATCGTGACATTTTACCTAATCATATATCTCAACTACTCTGGCCCTGCATATCTATAGAGGTATACTTTGTATGTTGTCATGTTTCTATCAAGTCAACTACTGGCCCAGCCAGCAACTAATTAATAAACAAGGTACTGAATGAGGCTCTTCACCTTGTTCATGTTATCTATTTTTTTTTTTTGATTCAGTCTTCTCATCTGTAAAATGAGAATAATAATAATAGTATCTTCTTTGCAGTGTTATTTTAAGCACTGAGCATATAGCAAGCATTCAGTAAATAGTAGCTCTTTACATTGTAAAGAAAATTACTAAGATTAATATTTTATCCTAGGCAATAGAAGCATTATACTGTTTTGGACATCAAAATTCAGATATTTTGGAAATTTTTCAGGAAAACTTGGAAATAATTCAGGAAAATTTTGATAAGTTTGAGTATCCTTTATGAGAGGAAAACTATAAAGGTGAAGGGACTGAAAACAATGATAGATAATGAACAATTCAACGAACTGGGAATATTAATCCTAGAGAGGGAAAAATGTAGGGATACATCATAGAATCTTCTAACGTTGGAGCATCATCATTAGAAGATGAATTTATCCTACTCTAGGTACTCAAGAAAGAACTGAAATATAGTGGAATAGATATATGGTAGGAAATATATTTAATTCACTATTTCAGTACTGGAAAGACCTTTCTAGCCATGTAGCAGGTTATCATCTCAACCAGCAGTCTTCAAACTAGAGGACTCATATCTCTAGGAGTACATTAAGTTTTTTTTCCAGGGGTATATGGGTATATATAGTTTTAAAGAAATCATTTCCCAAATTCTCAACCTCTATGTGTTCTTTACCCCAAAATGTGTCTATCTGAGGTTAAACTTATCCTTTGTTACCCCTCTTTGCATTTCTCCTACTTTACAAAAGAAAAACCTATGTCCACCAATCCTCAGTCTTACTATTGTGTGTTACTCAGGGTGTAAAAGTAAACAAAGGGGTATCTAAACAAAGGAATATCTTGAGGATGTATAACTCTTGAGGAGGTGACAGCAAAGCAAAAGATCATCTATAAGAAATATTGATGGGACAATGCCTAATTTCATCCAGATGACAAACTCATTTTAAGGCTCTATCTGTAATATATTGATTTATCTTAGAATTAGAATTTAGAAGTGAGACGGTTGTCACAGGGACACAAGTATTCCAGTTTATTTAAACTGAAAATGAATCCAGACATTTGCTCACAGAAAGTGAGCCTGATTTGTCTATTTGGATTGACAGTTTGAACTGCATTTGCCTGATAGATAGTATGGAAGACATATTATACAAATTGAATGAACTAAATCTATCAATCTGATGTTTTGACAAAATATATTCAAAGTATGTATAATATGGAATATGCCAGGAATTACATTCTTTGCAACTAAATGATCAAAAAGTTTTAAATGTCAAATTAAAATGTGCAAAGGGGTCCATGATTTTCTAAAATTCTTTTAGAAAGTATTCAGGCATAAAACTTTGAAAATTTTTATTCCAAAGTGGCCAACTCCCGTGACACCATCTGGAAGGGCTCAAACACAAACTAGACCCATTAGAGGTGTCACAGAGGAGATTTCTTACCCAGGTGGCCTCTCTAATTTTAAGAAAGACTGAGAGCCTACACACCTTTATATACTCATCAGGGCACTTCTAAACTCTAGTTGCATAAACACATGCTTCACCCCTTTACACCTCATAATGAAAGCACTCGCCAATCAAGATGCAGACCCATTTAAATCTGGTTATTTGTGCAAAAAGTCAATATTCCTCTTGCTATATTATCCTTGGCTGGAAAA